ACCATCGTGGTTTGGGAGATTCTCCAGATGTCCCAGTGCCCAGAGCAACTGAAAGACTATTCCTCCCATCTCCTCGTGGATCTCCTCTTCCAAGTTTCCACCAGCAAAGAGCAGATGCCAGAGGAGGTTGACACATTCTGGAAGGGATACTGGGAGCAACACCGCCTTCCCACAGACTCCAAGAGGTGCTCCATCCCAGGCCTCTTGTCCCTTTTATGTCCTCGGGGCTGGGTCAGGGCTCCCAGCATGACCTGGGCTTCACTCTCCACACAGATTTGCCGTGTTGACCATAAAGGCCCTACTTTGCCGCCTCGAGTATGAGGATGTGGTGGTGTCAATGGAACAGAAGCGTGGCTGGGACACGCTCGTCAATGCTGACACCCACCACTACGCAGTGGGTCTGCTGGCCAGGTGAGACCCCCTTGTCCCCACTGTCCCTGTCATTTCTGCCTGGGCACGGGGAACCCTCCCAGTGTCTGTGGGTCAGAGGGCCTTGTCAGCCAGGGATGGCTGAGCAGATTGGAAAAGGCTAGGAGAGGCAGGTGCGCAGGAGGAGCCGCCTCCCAGAGTGCAGGTGTCCCTTCCGGGGGTGGTGGGGAAAGACCAGGCCTGTGTGAGTGAGCCCCGGCAGAGGTTTGCCCACCCAGCTCAGGGTTGATGGTGCCTGTTTCCCCCTGCCAGGGAGATGCGCCGTGCCTCGAGCCCCTTGTATTCCTGGATTGCCCTTTGCCTGCTGGGGCTGCTCATCAGGGAGAAGCCCCGCTGGGAGCTTCCTGCCATGGCCTTCCTTGTGGAGGTGAGCCTGCTGGCGAGCGCTGCCTGGCCGAGCTGCCTCCACCTCTCAGCCCTCTGGCAGCCGCAGCTGCTGCCTGGGTACAGCCCTGTGCGGGTCCAGGCTCCTGCCGGCCGGGCACCCCGTCACTGCTGCGTGCCTTGCAGGTCCTCGACTGCCGGGATATGACTGAATGGAGTGACAGCTTCCTGGAGATTCTTGCAAGGCACCTGAGAAGCGAGTGCCCAGAGATGCGTCGCCTGGCACTCAGAGGCCTCGTGGTGCTCAGCAAGGATCCTGTGATGGTGAGGAGGGGGCAGGGGCTGAAGCCTTGCTGGAATCCTGTGGCTGGACAACGCAGTCACTTGGCCTGGGCTGGGCTTCGGGAGCTGTGGCAGCTGCTCCCAGCTCTTCTGCCATGGGGCCCGGAGGCCAATGGCCTGTCCTGAAGGGGTTGGCTCTGCAGCCGTTCCTGGCTTCCCAGCACAGCCTTGTGTTCCTCCCAGGCTGACGGCATGCGGACCCTGACACAAAGCCTGATGGACGTTCTGTGGGACGCAGACAGAGAGCTGGTCGAGATGGCCCTCTCTATATTCATCAATGAAGTTGAGGACAGAGACATCGTAATCTCCACCCCCACTGCCCTGCAGCTGGCTGAGGTGCTGCAGCCACTCTTTGGCTATGTAAGTCTCTGTGCCCCCCACCACAGGCCCTGGGGGCTGCCAGGAAACTGTGGCCTGTGCATGTGCAAGCCTGTGCCCCGGTGGGCCTGGAGCAGCCAGTGCTGAGGCCTTTTCTTCTTCCTTTGCATCAGGACAACATCCGTGTGCAACTGCTCTCCATTCACCTCTTCCGAAAGGTGATGGAGTTGGGAGTGGATGAAGGACAAGAACACCTGAAGTCACACGTGAACCAGAGCCTGATGCCACTCTTCTTCTACTGGCACGATGAGAACCAGCAAGTGGCAGAAGTGAGTACTTGTGGGCTCTGGGGTCACAACAGGAGGGAGCCGGGCTGCCTCCTGCCCTGGCCTTGGTCCAGGGACACGGGTCCTGTGCCCTGGGCTGTGGTGCCATCTCCTGGACTCTGTTGCTCTGCAGGCCTCTTGGAAAGCGCTTCTTCGTGCAGCCTGGTTGCTGAAGAGGAGGGATCTTGTGGAGCTGCTGAAGACAGAGCAGCCGTGGAGGTTTAGCGAGTGCCTGGTAAGGAGGGACCTGAAGCCCCAGTCCCCGAGGCCCTGAGTGTGGGGATGGCACTGTGCCCAGCCAAGGGGCAGAGCCCCAGCCAACCATTCCCTCTGTGCCCTGCCGTTTTCTGCAGCTGGAGAAGGACAAGAGCCGAGTGGCCCAGTACCTCTGCCAGGCCCTGCCGTACCTGGAGAGCCCACAGGAGCCCGTGCGAGAGGCGGTCCTCAGGTTCATAGGTGAGCCACAAGGTCACTGCAGCTCGGCCCCAGCCCCGGCTGCTGCGTCCACTGGGGGGGAGCTGTGACACCGCTGGGGCCCTGACAGCATCTGTGTTCCCAGGGATCGCTGGGAGGTACCTGAGGGGACAGCAGGTTGAGCTGCAGATCGTCATTGATGGTGAGTGAGAGCAGCAGGGATCAGTGGAGGAGCAGAGACCCTGGGCAGGGAGCTGCAATCCTGCCCTGGCTGTGGAGGGCTCTGCTCCCTGCATGGATGAGGAATGGCTTGGGCAGAGCAGAGAGAGATTTCAGGGCCATGAGGGGTATTGGTGGCCAGCACCTTCTGGCTGATCCCCTTGGGCCCTGCTCCTCCTGGCCATAGCAAGAATTGGCTGGGATGGCCTTGGCAGGAGGGGCTTCTTGGGTCACCAGAGATCTGGGCACTGACCTTGCCTCATTCCCTTTTGTTCCAGTTATTGAAGGCATGACTCATGACAGCGCTGCCATGAAAAGCCTGGCAATTCAAACCCAGAAAATCCTAATGGCTGTCCAGAGACCTCAGGCTTCTCCACATTCCAGCAGTTTGAACATCATCTCCAGAGTGTGCAGAATAGGGAGGCTCCTCTGTGGGGCAGCTGCCAGAGGTCTGCGGAGAACTGATCCTAGGAACCCTGTCTGATGGAAATACCTCACCCTGTGGAAAAGACCCCTCGTATCCTCTTACCCCAGCAGGCAATAATAAACCCCGCTTAGCAATATTAAACTCCTCTTAGCTATAATAAATCCCTCTTAGCATGCACAGAGACTCAGGAGGTTTTTTTGGTGCCCGGTATCCACAGTGTATTGGGGTAGAGGGGAAGAAGAGCCCTTGTGCTCAGCAACACTTGCCCAGGTGTGCAGTGGGGAGGGGAAAGTGCCCCAAAGGCCCTTGGCCTTGGGGGGTTCTGCTGGAGCCTCAACACTTGCAGCAGAGCGGATGGGCAGAGCCTGGAGCTGTGGGATCCCTGAGAAGCTGGTGCTTGGAGGTGGCCACACGGTCTGTCCCAGCCAGGAAGCAGCATGTGTGACCTGCCCCTGGGCAAATCCCAAAGCAAACACAAACACCACTTAGTGTTATTTTTCCATAGCCAAGCCCTCTCATGGATCACAGATTCACACCACTCTTCCTTTCCACCAAAGCATCGAGGGGCTGAACATCCCTATTCCCTCCTTGTTCCAACCCACAGGTGGTGGGAGCACCTCTGGGCGACCCTGGCACACTTGGAACAGGCTTGCACGGGGCATCCCAACTTTAGAGTGAGGTGGTGCAGCTCTTGAGCACAGCTTGGGGAAACTGTCCACATGAGGAATAAATGGTTTGGGGAATGGTGTTCGGGGCAGTGCTGCGCATGGGAGGTGGTGAGAAGTGCTGGGGTCAGGCTTTGAGACTTAGAGTGAGGATGATTGTGGAAACCAAATTCATCCTGTCAGCAAGCCAAGGTTTGCTGAAAACGAGTCCCCTCCTTAGGGTTAACTTTGCCCTAAGACTGAAGTTACAGCTGTGGTAGTTGCAAAGATCTGGTGACAATCTCTCCATTTTCCATCAATTCCT